CTAGCATCGTTGTCAGTAGCGTAATCTTGCAGAAAATCTATGCTTCTCATGGTTCGAGAAAGCAGTGCTTCAAGAACGATAACTTACACTCCTCAACGCAATCCTCCTCGGCCTTGCCGTTGTCATCGATCTGTTGCTGGACACGCTCGGCGCACTCGTCGTAGTGATGCTTCAGTGGGGCGCACGCAGCAGTCTTCAGGCACTCTAGAGTTTGACAAGTTAGATAGTGTCTCTTGCTCAAGTTGTAATGCGAGCTGCAAGGCTGCTAACAGATCTAATGGATGCCAGCTGCTCTTGCCCTGCATCGCAAAGGGTTCATGATCCTGACTTACCCTCCTCAATAACTGGCTTGATGTCCTCGGGCTCTTCCTCTTCCTCCTCCTCCTCCTCTTCTTCATCATCGTCGCCGCCCTCTTCTGCATCATCACCACTGGCCTCTGCCTCGTCATCGCCGCCGCTTGCGGCTTCCAAACCTTTACCCGGGTTAGTCTGCTTCACGCTACCACCGCCAGGACCAGCTGCGTCTGCGCCTTTCTGTCCACTGGCTGCGCCTCCGTCACCTGGGCGATGCCCTCTCTCACCTTCACCTGAGCGGCTAGCGGCACTCTCGGAGGTCTTCTTGTTCTCCTCGGCTTCGTCACCACTCTCCTCGTTGGTACCGCTGTGGGGAGTACTAGTCGAGGCGCCACCACGTGTAGCAGCACCGCGGTCGTGCTGTGCGGCGCCAATGCCACCTTTCTGATCCTTGGCTGAGGCTTGCTCGCCGGACGTGTCGGCTGGGCCCTCGTACTGTCGCTCCTCGGCCTCCGTGGTCGAGAGGGTGACCGGGAGGGAGGAGTAGAGGTCGGAGATATAGTCGAAGATACCCATCGTGGCGGTATTGCAGGGCGGTCGATGGAAAAGTGAAGGTACAAACGAATCACGGATACTCAAGAGGGCGATGGTAGCTTACGATTGGAAGCTGGGATGGCAGGAGTTGGGAAGCTTTTCGGTTGCACGGACCAAGTTGGCGGGAATCCCCGTGTGTAAAGACGATTCCTCGGTAGTTGATTCGCTAATGGCACTGCTGCCATTGCATGCCTCATATCTGTATATCTTCGATCTTACATCAGTGGGATTTAGGCACGAGTAACGTTGTGCGTCGATCCAAAGCCCGTCTAGCCCCCAGCCATGTTGTATTTGGTCGGTGAAACAACTGATCTTGAACACAGATTACACCAGTGTCTCGGTCAACTACCCCAATGACTCCGCAAATGATGTTTCCAAACGCCTCAGCATGTTGCTCTTCGAACGCTAAAAAAATTGCTTCTTATGTCGATGGGAGCAACCGTCGGCAGGATTCCGTGTCGAAACATATCATTTGACCGGCGCAATGAACAACTGCTGTTTCGAGATTTCTGACTGGTTGAGCACTCATCTAGATCAGCAGTCAGGATACAAGCAAGGGTAAAATCCAATAGTCAAGTGCAGGGGTGCTTGCAGGTGACTGCGTTGTTCGCAATACAAATTGTATGCCAACAACCAAATCTTTTCCAAGGTAAAGCTGGGAGCAACAACATGCAAGAAGGGGGGTATCATGCCCGACCTCAGTCCCTTACTAAAGAGCATTATGAAGGGCCAAATCCAACAACTGAACGGACGATTAAGATACGCGAGAATGTTTGATGATAAGGACAACTGCTCATTCTTGCGTCTCCCCCACGAAGTTCTACACTTAGCACTAGAAGAGAGAAGGAACACTGACAACCTCATAATTGGCCGCTTGTTGTTGCAGTCTGAGGCTGACCTCTCTCCTCAATATGCGCTGAAAAAGCGAATAAGTTTAGCTTTAAATGTGACCGTATACAGGACGCAGAGGGCTCGGTATAGGGAATTAGATTGTGGGACGTTCTTCAAACATAAGAGCTGGAAAGTGTCTGTATGACTAGCTACAATTGCCCTTCAAAACGCATCGTCGTCTTCGTATGTACGTCGAGCTCTGTACCAGGATCGAATTTTCATTGGGCCATGCACAAGAGACAAAGCAAATCTAATACACCTAGCGTATGCCTCGATTTTCAGACGCTGCTTTGCTAACGAGTCTGGAACCAATGTCTTCTTACCAGGCCGGATAAGGCATTCTGGTGTAAGCCACTATGTTGCGTGAATTTCGTCTTCAAGGGGCCCAACCGCAGCTAGATTGGTTGCATGATTGAGTCGATGTGTCCTTACTTCCCGCCGTGCAGGCTCTTCCGATACAGAATCGGCACCCATTCTGAACGTCCATGCTCGCCCAAGTTTGAAAGCTCCTTCCAGGAGCCAGAATCCTTCGGCAGACTCAACAGGCCAGTCCTCGTAGTCGACACGACATCACAGGAGCCTGGCGCATGGAACATTTGGGTGTAGCTGATGTCGCTGAATCTTTCAAATAACACAGTCTGCAGCTCATATGTTACCGCCCTCTTCCTTCCACTTCTTGAGATATTCTCTGCCATCGACAGCGCTGCGACTCTCAGTATGGGTGAAAGTATCGCGACGGACTTTGATACGGTTCAGCACAAATGGCGTTAACTAGTATCAAGATATCAGTCGTCTTCAATCGCGAATGATAAAATCAAGATGGCCTACATGGAAGTCTGTCAGATCAGGGCAGACATATGTCCGCACTTTGTTCCAGTCGATCTTGTATCCTCCATGCTTGGTGTGCCATCCCATAGATCCAGTGCCGGTTCCCTTGTAGAAATCTTTGCCAGCTTGTTTAGTCGAAAGTGGTAACCGCCTGACGGCGCGCTGAAGTGTAGGTGAAGGTCTCATGGCTGCGACGATGTGCTGACAATGATAGAGACTCTGACTGTGGCCGAGACCATGTTCCTTTGCAGCGCAACAACGCTCGGGCGATGCGGAGGTCTATTGCCTAATTGGGAAATCTTGAGAGCAGCCATTGCCAAGACTGTAGATATTCTGTAGCTGGGCCTACAGCTTATGAACAAAACTCCAACCAATACTTAACGGCCTTACCAGCTGATCTGACACTTCAAAGAGGTTTAAGTTGAAAGTTCTCTCAATCTTCAATCGGAGCATGCGCTACTAGGTGCATTAGCATCAGTGCCTCCACCCTATAAAGTCCTACATCTATCCGCGGTTCATATCCGCTACATCACTATATCTATGTCCATATAGATAAACACAGGTCGACTGATCTGGGCTTAATACGCCTCTACAGACCTGATGTTGGAAAATCCTAACAAGGCTTTTTCACCGATCCTGTATGCTCTAGCGCTTCTAAAGTCTCTGAGCCGTCGGCGTATACAATAGTATCACTCTTACTCCGAACGCTACGGACTTCTATGTAGCAAACTGCTGACGACAAGACCGCAATATTGCTGACACAAATACTTCGTTAGCGATAAGTCGAGACGAGTTCTTTCACTTCCGTTAAAGAAACTTACCTTGTGATGACAGCCAATGCAACTACATCCCAGCTAAGGGTGCAACCAACCCCAGCACACCTTGACAGGTTCGCCTGAATCGCCAGAAAGAGGACGGCCGCCAAAAAAATGATTCCAAGAATGTTGATGACGAGGTTCGCCTTGTGACTCGCCCATCAGAAGCAGCAGTGGACGTGTTCAGTCAGCAGTTGATAGGCTACGAAGACGAGTGATTTGGCTCCCTACAAATAGGATCGTGTCAGATCGTCAAACCTGATTGCATTGGAAGTATCACTCTTAACTCACCATGCCGAGTGCAATCGTGTTGGCCCTAGTACGTGGTTCATTCTTCATGAATAATCGGGGAATCGACAGTCCCATCGCAGCCAAAACCAGGACAGCATATACAATGTGTACTGGAAACTTCGCCCGAGTTGAAAATAAGCTGGAGGTCTTCATCTTTGCTGTTTGCAGTTGTCTACAAGCCCATACAAAATGTCTTGAACTGTAGGAACACTGTTGATTTTGTGACTTGGATTGGCAGATTTCCCTTTCAAATCGGAGTTTTCTGATAAACTAGCGATTGAACCATCGAGGCATCTGTACTGTATTTAAACAATGATATTGACGCCAGGTCTTTTAGAGTTTGATATCTGTAATACGACAAAAACGACAGATACGATCAATACGACTGATGCGACGAATACGACTGTCACGGCATTCGCCCATTGTGGCTGAAATCTATGGTTCTCACCACGATCCTAGAACAGCCAAGAGTCTATCATACTATGAACTGATAACTCCCGATCATCAGTATGTTTTGCTAGTATATCCTAAGCTGAACCTGAACTACACAGCAGCTCAAGACCTTGGCGCTGAGAATTCCTCGTCCAAGGTGTAGTACTTCCCACATTGGTGCATACCTGTAGATCAAACACATCTGATATGATGTTATGCTTCCACACAGCCACTACGCTATGAAGGGAAGGAGTTCGAGTGACTGCTTTGTAGGCAAGCTTGGCCTGCGCCAAACGTGTAGGGCGCCACGTGTCTACTGCCGACCTTCTCCCCTGCCCCGTGCATCCCTACGAATGGCAGTTCTACTAGCCTTCCAGATTGAGACTCAGAAGTCTCTTCTGTACTACCAAGAATGATACGAGCTCGGAAAAAGCATCAGAAATCACGTAAAGACTGCGAACAGTGCAAGTAGCGACATGTAAAGGTGAGCCCAATAATGGCTGGATTCAATCAATATTTCTGAGGATGACATTGAGTTTAGTGCGACGAGAATCGCCCAATATGCCTGGCTTGCAGCCGCCTAGAACTACTATGTCGGTATCCAAACAGATCGCAACCTAGTCATGCTGCAAACGTAGCTGCCAATAGAACGTTGGTGTCTATGCTATCTCCCCCTTCTCCACGCCCGGTGTCCACATCGGATTCAAGTACGTGGACGATTACATGTATGGAGCTCATGCACCACTACTCCACCTGCGGCTGTCTTTGTTTTGCTAGGCACACTCCTTGCCACAAGCTCTGGACGGTTGGCATACCCGACATATTATTCTCAAATAGCTACCTCCTCCATCAGACACTTGCTGTAGCAACTCTTCATTGCTGCATCGAACATCCAGACCGAACTCACCTGCCGGCCTTTGCTGCTTCTCATCGTGCTATAGCCCTGAGCGAAGTGCAATCTGTCATTACAGAGCGTTTTCAGACCGACAGCATTCCGCTCTTCGCTTTTGCAGGTCTTACTGCAGTGTATGCATTTGGGGAGCTTGCCACGAGAATCGACCAGGGGAGCCCGACCTCTGATCCAATTGGGGACGTCGTAGCCTGCCTGGGACTTGCGCGTGGCATAGGCACAATTGTCAGTACCGTGAGAGACGATATCTTGAACTCCTGGGCAAGTCAAATGCTATCTTTCAATGCGACAGCCGAATTGGAGTTTCTGCGCAAAACTGGCTCTAAACTCGAACAGACTGTTCTATTGGACGAGATTGTCACTATGCATACAAGACCAGAGGAGACCTTGACCGTATATCTAAACGCTGCGAGGCAGTGCTTAGAGTACATTCAGCTCCTCACATTTCATTCTGACTAGGATAATGAGATCCATCGTATCATCATGGCCTGGCCGAACCAGCTCAATCCTCAGTTCCCTGATTTGCTAGAATGCAGAGAACCCATCGCTCTATTGGTGCTTGCTCACTACGCTATTCTTCTGAGTACGCGCCGTAAGCTCTGGTGGTTGAGAAAATGGCCATTTGAGATCCTACAATAGATTGCAGAGATTTTCGACGAGGATCAACAAGAATGGCTGGAATGGCCAAAGATGATGCTGGAGGAACTACGCACTCTAGCGGTACCTGTATGAAGGCCCCTGCTATGGACGTACAGGTGGACACGTGACGGCTTTAAGACAATGACCCATGCGACATTGCAGCGGTGAAGGTGAGGTTTCTACTTGGCTCCAAAACAAAGCATAGCACATGTTTCGATAAAGAACTATGCCGTGTCTTAGCGTGTTTCCAAAAAAAAATTAAAAAATTAAAAAAAATAGCGACAGACCAGGCGGCACGAAGCTCTAACTTGAAACCATAAGTTGGGTTCAGCTCATGTCTTACTTATCCAAGATTATTCGCACTATAGGAGCGTGCCAAGGAACCTTCTTGGAAATGAGCAGCAAGGCACTGTACCTTCTATCATGCCGCCAGGCTGCAAGCCAGCGCGCCCACTTCGCGCTCGTCATCGTTAACGATGCATATCCAGGCTCTGGGACACGAGTCGAGGTGGTGGGTGCGCCGATGGTTGGGTTCCAACTGGAAGTCGACCGGAACTATGATCCCTCGCACGATGAAAGTACCCACACCTCGTACTTGTTGGGAGCCATGGCCGCTCAAGATGTCGATAAGGTACTTCAACTTGCTTCAACTGTACCACCTCCACGCATTAGCCAAGACTTCATGGCTCCTGTTGACGGCGTATGTCATAGCTGGCAAGCTATACTCCTAGTGATGATCGCGAAGCCTGATGTTGTTATAGGTCAAGAATAGGCGCTGTCAGGAGTGGACCACAGACTTCGTCAGATTGCTTGTGCAGCGTCAGTTACTGGGTGATGAGGCTCTCACAATAGTACAATCGCAACGGGACTCTCCTACCCATGGTATTGGACTTAGACCAGTCTGATGAGACTGTGCTTGAAGATCAAGTTGACCGTATGGTGATGACCAAGGGCATGGCTAAGGTATTTACTTAGTTGTGTTTGGCTGTTACAGTTTTCTAACAACGAAGTAATCCACTGGGTATTACATTCAATGTTAATCAATCACTTTGGGGCAATCTAGAGATTGAACAACCAACCAGACAGACTTCGCATTGGCGCAGCGTGACATCTTTCATTCAATCCGACGTCCGAATCCGCAAAGATGCTGCATCCTGTGAGGTTCGAATGATCTAGGTTGAAGGAGGCCTTTGAAAACTTGTATCGCACCCGCATAATCATATCATAGTGTCGACCATCATTAGATCTTGTCGGATCCAATTATCAAAAGTCGTATTATTGCTCGAGATAACCCGAAGCCCTCCAGATTGCACAGACCACTTGTGACCCAATTCTGCCGACCCCAAAAATTAACCCTCGGGCTTTAGGCAAAATTTCTTGAAGCTTGACATAGTAGCATGTCGTTTTACCAGACACCGCCATACCTACAAACGATTTTCTCTTGCAACGTCTTCCAAGGATAAAATTGAGCAGCAAGATGCCTGGAAGAGTCGCACGCTCAAATGTGCCTCAGGCACAGCCCAAGACAGTTCGCAACAAGAGCAAAAAGCGACATCTAGACGCCTTTGCGATCGCAGGCCACGAACATGCAGACAAATTGCGCATAAAGCAGCATCGTCTCGGAGAGACCCTTGACGACGGGCCAAGCAACAAGCGGAGGAAGGTGCAAGAGCAGGAAGATGATGAGGACGATGATGAGGACGACAGAGACGGCGGACGCAGGAGTCAGGGACGGACTGGCCCCAAGCGACAGATGAGGGACGCGGACGATTCTGTCGAGGAAGGCAGTGATAGTGAAGGGAACGAGTGGACTATGGGAGGGTTGGGTGAAGACGATGATGACAGTGATCTGGATTCTGACATGGCTTTTGGCGAGAGCGATGAGGAGAGGTTTGAGGGCTTCACTTTCCGGGGGAGTAGTAAGAATAAGAAAGGATCGCAGGCTAGACCGGCGAAGAAGGATGTGCGGAAACCTGGCCAGATGGATATCGACTTGAATGAGGACCAAGAGGAGGAGGAGGATATTGAGGATGACTTTGGCGATGAGGGCGTTGATCTTGCGACCATGCTTGATGACTACGATGAAGGAGAAGAGGAAGGAGAGGAGGAAGGGGTTTCCGATGGCCAGGATCAAGAGAGTCTGAATGACTACTCTGGATCTGATTCAGAAGATGCTCGTGATGTTGAAGACGAAGAGCGCAATGCCAGGATTCTCGATATGGCGAATCAGTACGGTGGTGAATCAGTAGCAGATCCCAGCAAGAGCAAGTCAGCAACTCAATCAAAGCTCACGGCGGCAGATCTTCTTTCTGGCTTCGACGGAGAAACTCGTCGCACAGCTGAGAAGTCGATTAAACCAAGTAAGAAGGTCGCGTCAGGGACATTATCTGCACCACTTCCGAAACGTCAGCAGGACAAGCTTGATCGTCAATTCGCAAGTCAAAAGGCTGAGGAGCAGCTGGATAGGTGGCGAGACACGGTCATGCAGAACAGGAGGGCAGAATTCTTGCAATTCCCTCTCAAGTCAGGGGAGACCGGTGCGCCTAGTGTGAACAAGGAGAAGTTTACCCCAGCGACACAGGAGGCACCATCAACTGAACTTGAAGCCAACATTCGCAAGATCATGGAAGAGAGTGGGTTGTCGACGTCCAAGAACGATACAGATGATGGCGTCGATGCTGAGGATGGTTTGCTCAAGGCGGAAGCACTTTCTACCAACAAGATGCCGGTGGAGGAAGTTCGCCGGAGAATAGCCGACCTTCGCCGCCACCGTGACCTTCTTTTCCGTGAGGAGATCAAGGCAAAGAGGGTGAAGAATATCAAGTCCAAAGCTTACCGCCGTGTGCATCGAAGACAGCGTGAGAGAGAAGCTCAGGAGGACGCTGCATTCCTTGGTGAGGATGGAGAGATTGGCAAGGACGAGCGTGAGAAACGTGATAGGAAGCGTGCTGAAGCACGGATGGGAACGAGGCATAAGGATTCAAAATGGGCCAAGAGTCTAAAAGCGACGAACCGGGCAGCTTGGGACGAGGATGCCCGTGACGCTGTGCTTGAAAACGCCAGGCGACAGGAGGAGCTGAAACGTCGTATTGCTGGAGACGACATCTTCGAACAGTCCGGGTCTGATATATTTTCGGACGGAGATGACGAAGGTGACGATGCAGGTGACTATGGTCTCGAGAGAAGGCTAGAAAGATTGGCACAGGGTGACGAGAAGCCTGCGAAGGGCCTGGCTGGGATGAAGTTCATGCAAGCAGCCGATGCGAAACGCAAAGCGCAGAATGACGACGACATTGAACGGATGAAACGTGATCTGGCGGTCGCGGACGGCGAGATAGAAGAGTCTGAGAAGGAGGAGGACGAAAGTCTTGGCCGTGCTATATTCGGACCTCGACCGAAAGAAGCAAAGGAGCAGAAGCGCAAAACTCAGCGGGCCGAGCTCGAGGAAGGGTCGGAATCGAGTGATGGTGACGAGGCCGAGGTCGCCGGGAAGGAGCCTTCTAAGTCGCTTACGGCTAAGACTTCAGCAGCCAAAGCCAAAGGTTCCCAGAAGAAGTCTAGTGGTCCCCTGGCGAAGAATGTCATTTCAAGTGGTGTCAGCTCGAACAATGTACAGGAACAGCGGCCTACTGAGGTCGAGAGTAGTTGGCTCAGTGGCGAGCCAGAGAAGGAGAGCAGCAAGTCGAAGAAGCAGCGGGGCGACGACGCCGATGTTCTGGCGCTGGCTATCAAGCCGTCTGAACCCACACCCAACGACACCAAGCCAACAAGGCCTTCTAAGCAGCCTGCACCAGGCCGGTCTGATGGTACCTCTGCCGGCAACACCGAAGGCTGGAACACAGTAATCTACAACAATCCGGACGATGACGGCGCAGACTCAGAAGCCGAGAACGACGGCCAGCCAATGCTTACCAAAGCGCAGCAGAAAGCCGACTTCCACCGCCGGGCATTCGCGGGCGACGACGTGCACCTCTCCTTCGCTGCCGACAAGGAGGCAGCCGAGGAGTCAGAAGACGAGAAAGAAGCCTCTTCGCACCTTCCTGGTTGGGGCAGCTGGGCCGGCGATGGCCTCTCAAAGCGCGCCAAGAAGCACAACAACCGCATCAAGCACAACCCTCTCCACAAGCACAAAGTCCCCGGCGGCACTGCTAAGGACAACCGCAAGGACAAGGGCAGAGCGGACGTGATAATCTCAGAGAAGGGCGACAGGAAGGGTGCAATCTACAAGGCCAAGGTGCTGCCGCATGGGTTCGAGAGTAAGGATCAGTATGAACGCAGCCTCAGGATGCCAATTGGGCCAGAGTGGAGCACGAAGGAGACCTTCCAGAGGAGCACGAGGCCGAGAGTCGTCACTGCGCCTGGGCAGGTCATTGAGGCCATTGAGAGGCCAGCCATCTAGATGCACTGTGAAGGAGAGGGAGATCATAGACAGATCGTATTGGATCGTATTGGATCTGATCAGATTAGATCTGGCGGTATATATTACCACGTGATAGTCGTCGCACTCGCGAAGTTGATGAAGGGTCGAAGATGTATACAGAGCGTTCCCGACAATCACCGTTTGAGGACCCATATTGGCCCATGTGCACGGTAAAGGTTGTCTAGCCCTAGGTTCATATTTCAGTACACAACTGTACGGGCGGAGTGTGGTCTGATGTAATCGCCAGTTGCCATGGCCACGCAGCAGCATGCGAGAGCAGACGATCGCTAGGACGAAGCCCGCCAAGCCGCGCGTCGCCCATGCTTGACGCTTGAAATCCTCGCAGCTTTTTTCTATCTTTATCGCTGCTGCAGTCCGTCGATCTCCACCGGCAGCGTATACCCTATACTACAACGCGTTGGGCGGGTGTTTCGCGGTCGCTCTCGTCTGTGTCTCTGATCCGTCATGCTTTTGAGAGTACAGTTCTTCCCCTTCTGAAGCGCGGCCGGCCAACGAGTGGTGGGTGGAGAGCGCGTACCCAGGCAGCATCCAGGATTCCCTCTACCGACGTGGCGATGGG